CTTCTCTCTCTCCCCCTCTCTTTCCCTCTCTCCTCTCTCCTCCCTCTCTCCCTGTCTCTCCCTTTCTTTCCCCCGTCTCTCCCTCTCTCTTCCTCTCTCTCTTCCTGTCTCTCCTCCTCTATCTCCCCCTCTTCTCCCTCTCCTCTCTCTCTCCACCTATCTTCCTCTCCCTCTCTCCCTCTCCTCTCTCCCTCCGCCTATCTCTTCCTCTCCCTCTCTCCCTCTCTTCTCTCTCTTCCTCTCTCTCTTTCTCTGAACTATACTCCCCAACATACCCCACCCTTTTATAAACTGGAGACAGGGCCTCAGCTAAATCACCAGATTGCTGAGCTTCAATCTGCATTCTCCCGCTTCAGCCTCCCACAAGGCCAGGGTGACCTCTGCCACCACATCCAGCTTGGCTTTGACACTTATTTCAGAGGAGGTGGGACTGGTGAGAAGCGAGGAGCAGAGCAAAGAGGGGGCAAACCCTGCTTTCCGTTTTAGCAGAATCACTTTGGCCTCTGGACTGGGAGAGACTGGAGGAGGGGAACAGAGTCTCTGAGTGCAACAGTCCAGGCAAAAAGCAGGGGTGTCTTAACCCAAGTAGTAGGATGATGGATTTGGGGTGTAGGTGGCTCCCCTCTATCTGGAGTTCTGCTGCTTTCCTTTTTTTTTTTTTTTTTTTTTGGTCCTGGGCACTAGACCCAGGACCTTTTGCTTGCCAGGCAGGCACTTACGCTGCTGAGCTATCTTCCTGGCCCTGCCTTCCTTAGTTAAAATTACCTGAAGTCAAAATGGCTTAAAAATATTAAGTGGGAAGCTTCAGAAATAGTTTAGTGGCTGGCAACATAGCTCAGGGGAAGGGCTGGGGAGATGGCTCAGTGGAATAAGCACTTCCCTGGCAAGTGCAAGAACCTGAGTTCAATCCCCAGTTCTGCCAAAGATAGCTCCGGCGCCTGCTTAGGCAAGCACGGGGACTGTGGCAGGGACTTAGGCTAGTGCAGTGATTACCTGGCACCACATGCCACACCAGCCCTGCCCCCTGGACATGGACAAGCTGAGCTGGCCAGAGTCTGTGTGCAGCAGAGCACACCTGTAATCCCAGCACAGGACAGGCTGAAAACAGGAGGATCACTATTGTCTTACCTTTTACTCGTTGCTGGGACAAATACCCGAAACTCAAAGTGAAGGAAGGAAAGGTTTATTTAACTCACAGTTACTGCAATAAATGTTAAAAAAAATAAAAAAATTAAAAAAAAAAGGGGGGGCTGGAGAGATGGCTCAGTGGTCTAAAGCACCTACTTGGAACAAGCTTGGCAAAGCACAGGG